CTCCCTCCTCGTCCTCTTCGTTTTCCTCCCCTTCCCCTCCTCCTCCCTTCCTCCTCCTCCTCTTCCTCTTGCTCCTTTTCTTCCTCCTCCTCCTCGTCCTCCTCGTCCTCCTCCTCCTCCTCCTCCTCCTCCTCCTCCTCCTCCTCCTCCTCTTCTCCTCCTCCTTCCCCTCCTCCTCCTCCCCTCATCCTCTTCCTCCTCCTCCTCCTCCTCCTCGTCCTCCTCCTCCTCCTGAGCCCGATCATCCTCGTCCTAGAACATTTTCCTCCTCGGGATCGAAGGCCGCCGCCGGACGGTGCGCGCCCCCCTCGGGGAGGGGGTCCACTTCTCCTCACCCAGGGGCTCGATCCTCCGTTTCCTCATCGAGTTCGTTCCCTCCTTCCTCCTCCCTCCTCCTATTCCTATTCCTCCTCCTGCTCCTCCTCCTCCTCCTCCTCCTCCTCCTCCTCCTCCTCCTCCTCCTCCCTCCTCTCCTCCTCCCCCTCCTCCTCCTCCCTCTCCTCCTCCTCCCCCTCCCCCTTCCCCCCTCCCCCTCCTCCCCCTCCTCCTCCTCCTCCTCCTCCTCCTCCTCCTCCTCCTCCTCCTCCTCCTCCTCCTCCTCCTCCTCCTCCTCCTCCTCCTACGGGACATCGTCCCGAGAGAAATCCTGGAAATCCTCCTCCTCCTCCTCCTCCTCCTCCTCCTCCTCCTCCTCCTCCTCTTCCTCCTCCTCCATCTCCTCCTCCTCCGTTTCCTCCTCATCCTCCTCCTGCGCTACCACCTGAGGCGCAACCGAAGGTTACTTCGCTACCTCTTCAAAGGGAACCTCGCAGGCGAGAGACCTCTCCCCTGACCCCTGGGGCCCTTCTTCCGCGGTACAAGACCCCGGGCACCAAACACAACATTACAAGGCTTGGTCTCCCCAGCGGGCTCGGAGAGCCCGCAAGCCTCCCCGAGGCAGCCTGGGCCGACGAATCCAATTGGCAGTCGTCGGCCAGGCTATCGCGGGACGACTGCGGACCCATTCAAGCCCCTGGAACGGAGACTGGCCAATTCTAGTCCTTTGGGCAGCCGCCCCTCGTCTATCCTCTTGAGCGTGCTCTTGCCATCCTTGCTGGGGCCCGGCACACAAGGGGACGATAACTGAATGAAGCGCGCGACTCCCTGGGCCGCACATGCCCTACATAACCAAAGACCTCGCACCTGCTCCACTCGGCGCGTGTGACAAGGACAAGGATCTGCACAGGAATGAATAACGTCTGCCTTGCTCGAGCTGCGGAGGCATACTTTACATGTGCAACCTTTCTCGGAGTGCTCTAGCCGATGGGAGGTATTTCTCATCGCCGCGATTCTGACAGCCTTTATCTCCTGGGACTTTCGCGTAGAACGGGCCGCTAGATCGCCTTTTTGAACTGGTCCCGTAGAGGTCCTCGCTTCCTTGGCCAGTTCTAGGCCCACGGGCGCGAAATGTCGTTGGGCCCGCCAGGCCAGTTTGTCCGCTTCTCTCATCTTGAAAACTAGAATGTAGGGTGGCACAGTCTCGGTGGCTGCTTGTTCTGCTAATCTGTCAGCGGCGTCATTCGCAAACCAACGATCGCCTGCGATGCTGTTGCCTATCTCGCTCTCCGCGAGATGGCTCTTGACTTTCTTATGCATGAAAGCTCCCTGGTGCTTGTCCGTAGCCTCGGCCCAGAGTTCAGCATTCGAAATGCGCCTTCCCTGGCGGCCCTTCGAATGCCCTTGCTGACATACTTGGCATATATTACTACTGTGGCGTCTCCTTTGGTCTTATGAGAGCACTAACTACTGCTATTAGCTCTGCCCTTGGGACCGTCTGGCGCGGGCCTGCTGCGCTACCTCTGAGGGGCGCCCTGACATGATGCATCGACGCAGACGGCGAACGCCACTCCAAACCTTCTCAGGCGGGCGCCCCTAGAGTGCTCACCCCCCGAGCCATCGCTGCCTATCGTGACATAGAGGGGGGGGGGGGGGGCTGGCCTTCGCTCAGCCAATCTCCTTCGCAGGTCGCGTGTTCTGCAGGCGCGGGCAAATCCGCGCCCTCCATGGCCCATAAAATAAGGGCTGGGCCGCGTCACCAAAAACGCAGGAACTGCTGTGCTCGTACTCTCGCTTGCTCTGCTACTTTGCTATCATCGGCTAGGGCCTCGATTCCCGAATTACATGGGCATTCCCATGTCCGGTGGTAACGCGTCTCCTCTTGCTCCCCACATCTTGGGCAGATGGGTGAGCCTAACTTTGCGTTTTTCAAACCTACGCTTGGAAGGCCACATGGCCCCCTGGCTGGTCACGTCCAAAACTGCTGCTAAGTGTGTCAAACCTGTGGCTCGCAGGTGCTCGAGGTGGGCCCAAGTCACAGACAAGTCAACACCGAACTCGGCCCCCGAACCCTCGAGATGCTCACTGGCTTGGGCACAGTGCTGCTGCTCCAGGGAAGGCCCGACTTCGAACCGAAGGGTGCCTGGTCCGGCTGAACCTTCAAATTGTATCTTTTCCCCGCACGGGATGGTCCATTCCCCTGGCGAGTTAGCAATCCCGCTCATATCTAAAAGCGCCGCTGGACTGCCGCGAGACGCCCTTGCGCGCGTTGCCGGCGGTTGGGGGCCTGCTGGAGCATCTTCAGCGACTCCTGCCATGCACGCCCCAGCGTCTCTCTCCACTGGTGGATCCTGAAGAGGTGTTAATTACCGCACATTTATGACACTTGGGCCCTTAGCTCCATTGAAATCGTGGGCGCTAGGCCCATGGCAACGGCTCCCCAGGCAACCTGTGGTTTGTGTCCCGTCTTGGCCAGCTCCCTGGAGCCCGTGGAAACCCTGCCTAAAAACCTAATGGCGCGGGCTCTGCGAGAGCCCTTCAGCTGTCTCACTTTGATCACTCCTTGTGTCCTCGCACTGCTAATTACGTCTATGCCCAAGTCCCTAGCCTTCGTGTCGACCTTGATTGGGCGGCCGACGCTTATGATGGCACGTCGAAGGTCGTCTCGCAGCGCCGCTGTGCTGCATAACCCCACTGGCTTGTTTGAGATCCTCAGGCCTTGCCGAGTCATTGTGGTCATATCTGGAAAAGTCGCTTGGACTGCCGCGAGATGCCCTCGCACGTGTTGCCGGCGGTTGAGGGCCTGCTGGAGCATCTTCAGCGACTCCTGCCAGGCACGCCCCAGCGTCTCTCTCCACTGGTGGATCCTAAAGAGGTGTTCCTGCCAAGCCAAGAGAAGCTCTAAGGGGCCCCAAAACATCAGTTCGCTGTACTTCCCTAAGCTTGTACGAATGGCGGTGGTCGCACAACCCCCTGCCCATTTGCTACCAGGCATGGATGACACTTGGTTGGGCCCTTAGCTTCCTTGAAATCGTGGGCGCTAGGCCCATGGCAACGGCTCCCCAGGCAACCTGTGGTTTGTGTCCCGTCTTGGCCAGTTTCTTGGAGCCCGTGGAAATCCTGCCTAAAAACCTAATGGCGCGGGCTCTGCGAGAGCCCTTCAGCTGTCTCACTTTGATCAATCCTTGTGTCCTCGCACTGCTAATTACGTCTATGCCCAAGTCCCTAGCCTTCGTGTCGACCTTGATCGGGAGGCCGAGGCTTATGATGGCACGTCGAAGGTCGTCTCGCAGTTCCGCTGTGCTGCATAACCCCGCTGACTTCTTTGAGATCCTCAGGCCTTTCCGAAGAATTGTGGTGGCCAGAGTGCTTGCCAACTCCGTCGTTTGTCGAAGGACTGAAACTCTACTGCCGATTTTGAGTTGCGCCAGATCGTCCACCCAGCCGTCGATCTGGTTGGATGGAGGTGGGATACTTCTGTGGATGTCGTCCAGCATCCAGCATGTCCCAGAGATACATTCGTGACCAGGCCACGCCCTGCATGCACCCCGCAATGACCGAGTCCAACGTTACGAATTGACTTCGCGCTAATTCTTTACATCCACGGCCTTCTGCACTTTCCTGGCACCGAGTGGGGATTTGGGGCGCTGCGACTTTGCATGACCTCGCGTTGCTTACACGAAACGACGATGCGAATGCCAGGAACAGTGTGTTGGGGTTCATGATAATGAGTTCAATCTGGCTAAGACGACACGATGCTGAGAATGCCAGGAATGGCGTTCTGGGTCGTCACGATTTTGTTGGGTCCTAGCCTGGCTAGGACGAAACAATGATGATATTGCCAGGAATGGCGTTCTAAGACGTTACGATTTGTGCGGCCATAGCCTGGCTAAGGCCAAACGAACACGAAAGCCACGAAACTCGATAGGGTTGCAACTTTCCAACGTTACGAATCATTTTTTTGAGCTCTCGCTTAATACTTCCTCCTCCTCCTCCTCCCTCTCCTCCTCCTCCTCCTCCTCCTCCTCCTCCTCCTCCTCCTCCTCCTCCTCTTCCTCGAGCTCTGGGTGCGCCACCCCCACAATGGGGAAAGCAACGGGTACCGGTGCCGCTACTCCCCGGACCTCTCTGGGGGTGCGTTCTGGCCAGGACTTCGGGGCGAATCCAGCGGTGGCGACGAGGGCCTCCCAGGAGGCCCACGCAGGGGAACACGAGCGGCAGGCGGAGAGGTAGATGGGTACCCTCTGACCCCCTCTCCGGCTCTGCGTTTGCGCCACCTTCGAGCGGGGGATCGACTACAGAATTGACTTACCCCTGAATTGATGCTTTCGTCGAATGCACGAAGGAATACGTAGACATCCACGAACACTCTACGCATCCCTTCGTAGATTCGACGAAAGAATCAATCCTGGAGTAAATCAATTCTGTAGTCGATCCCCCACTCGACACCTCCACCCGGGGATTTGGACGCCCGAAATGGGTACCGAAAAAATGGGTACTATGCCCAACAGCAAATGTTGTCCCAAACCAACAGCAGTCGCTGTTGGGCAGGCGGCCTCCTGTCTCGAATGGACACAGGCCGCGGCGGCGTGGACAGCGAGCCCTGTTCAAACTGAACAAGATCCGCTGTTGGGCATTGTACCCATTCTTTCCGTACCCATTTCGTGCGTCCAGAGGGGAGGGGCGGTCCTCTCATCGCCCAGGGGCGGCATCGCGGGGCCCCGGCCGCGGGGCGCGCGCCCTGCGGCCCCCCCGGGGGGGGGGGCTCTGTGCGGGCAGAGCCCGTGGCCTGCGCGGGAGGGGCCCCCGCCCTGCGCGCGGAGCGCCCCGGCCGCCGAGCGGGGCGAGCCCGCGGGCGCCGCCGCCGCCGCCGGGAGGGGACCTTTGATGAAGGGGAACTGGGACACACGAGTAAATACACACAAATAAAGCTATCCCCCATGTTTTCCCATGTTTTCTGGGCTTCTGTCTCCCTCCCCATTTCCCATATTTTCCCATATTTTCTGGGGGATCGATGATCAATTGTGTCTGTGTGTGTTTCTTTCCCTCCTGACTGGAGACCCTCGGAGGAGATCAGAGGTCCCCAATGCCACCACCCTTCCCTCGTTCTCCGCCCCCTGGGCCTCCTGGGCGGCCCTCGTGTTCCACCGCTGGCTTCGCCTCGAAGCCCTGGTCAGAACGCACCCGGGCGAGGTTCGGGGAGCAGCGAGATCGGTGCCCTTGGCTTCCCCGGACCTTGACTTGGCATCGCTCGGACGCCCGTTTCGCGGGATGATCCAAGATGCGCCTCGAAGGTCTCCGCCGAGAAACAAATGCACACGTCCGAGCGATGTTGAAAGTATGGAGATCCGACGTGCAGGCAAAATCCAGACGTGCAATATGGAGATCCGACGTGCACGTTCTTGACCGTTTTCGAACCTTGAGGCCCTCGGGCCCCGGGACAGTCCAGAAACGGCTCACGATTCCGGTTGACCCAACAGGGAGTCCAGCTACAAGGGGGTGGTGCCATAGTTCGGGTGCAATAGTTTCGTGGATTGGGCGCACATGTACTGCTGGACGTTCGCGTGCAGTACAATACTTGCAATCCAATTCCAATCAATTCTCTGGCGCAGTGCACTTGCAATACAATTGCCCCAACTCTATGGCACCACCCCCTTTCAGCTGGACCCGCTTCCGAGTCGCCCACCAAGATGAGAAGCCGGCCGCGTGGAAAGGGTCGAGGCTTCCAGGAGAGAGAGGGAGGAGGAGGAGGAGGAGGAGGAGGAGGAGGAGGAGGAGGAGGAGGAGGAGGAGGAGGAGGAGGGAGGAGGGGGAGGAGGGGGAGGGGGAGGGGGGGGAGGGGGGGGGGAGAGGGAGGAGGAGGAGGAGAGGAGGAGGAGGAGGAGGAGGAGGAGAAGGGGAGGAGGACCCCGCACTGGGAAACTCACGACCTCGCATCTCCGAGGAGGCGCGAGCAGGGGGGGGGGTGGGCAGGCTCGCCCGCTCGTTCCTTCTCCGGGGGCGGGGGGGAGGAGGCGCGAGGGCGGGGGGGGGGAAGGGGAGGGGGGCGAGGGGGGATGACAGAGAGGGGGGGGGAGAGGAGGGGAGGAGACGGAGAGCTGGAAACGAGCACCAGCGGGAGGAGGAGGGGATGGTGAGGGTTCCAAGGCGCTCTGAGGCTGGTTGCCGCCACTGGCACATGTTACTTGTATTCACGATAACGAACGTGAGCAGCCCCGCCTCCCCCCCTCCCCCCACCTCTGGTCACGTCACGATTCGCGCTGGCGCCGTCTGGGAATTTACCACCCTTGAGCATTCCCAGACGGCACTGGCGCGAATCGTAACGTGAGGGCCCCCTCCAACCTCCCTCCCCCCACCCCCAAGTCGCGCATGTTTTATCGCCAGGGGATAAACAAGTGGTTCCCATACCGGGTCTGCCTTACTAGCACGATGGGACGAACCTGACCAAAACCGAACAAAAACTAGCTCCAGACGCCGAGCTAGACCAGAATCGGGAAAATCAAATCAGAGCCGAACCGAACCGTCCCCTTGACGGGGAACGATAGGTGGGGCACCAGCGCAGGGGGGGGCATCTAGCTGGAATCGGCGACATCTCACCGATACATTGAAGGTAAGCGCTCGATTGCGAAACCACACGATCCTGGGTGGGGTGGGCTATCAGGCCCCTGCCGGCGGTGCCTGGGCATAAAGCGCATTGGCGCTGGCCTGCTAGCGCTACCAAGGTACCGGACCATGCGTTCAACATTCCCATTTCCCTGCTCTCGTCCTGTCCCCTCCCCTTCGTTCCTCCCTCCGGGCAGGCCTCCAGCCCTCGCACTCTCTGCCTGGAATGATCATCCTTCCTGCCTTTCCCCGCCGCCTCCTCACACCTCGAGCCTTCGGCCCTTTCTCCCACTCTCTTCGACGGGAGATGGTGGCGATCCGCTGGCGGACGCCCGAGCGAGGACCGAGCGAGGAACAATAACGCATCGGAAAGGACGACGTGTGCGTCATGCGGTTCTGACACTGCGCTCGCCCTTCGCCATTTCCTCCTTCCCTCCCCTCCCTCGACCTTCCGCTTCCGTCCACTCCCTCCCCCCTCGATCGCTCCCCCCTTCACCCCCAATCCCCTCCCCCTCCCATCCCTTCACCTCTCTCCCTCTCTCTCTCTCTCTGTCTCTCTCTCTCTCTCCATTTAGTTTCATATGTTTGTTCTTATGTTTGTCCCTCTCT